TCCTGCCTGACGCACTAAAACGAGAATCACTTTGCAGTTAACTGTACTTTGCTTTCTGGAGGACAGCGGTATTCTGCAGCTTAGGATGTTGATACCTGCCTTTTGGGTTTTAATAAAAGGAAAATTCCAAATCTGTAGGGGATAAGAAAGAAATGGGGGAACCCGTCCAGCTTTGTGGTGTGGTTTTGCAGCGCTGGCAGAAGCAGCAGCGGGTCAGCTGAGCCCTGGCATTGCATTCGGTGACGGGAAGGATTGTCCTGGATGGTTTTTTGCTCAGCAGTCATTGGATTTATCTGTGCACGTCACTTCTTTTTTTTTTGCAGAGCCTGCTTTAATTTTGCCTTGTAATCAGCGTGCGGCGTTGATTCTGCACAGAGGGCTCTCCAAGAGCCGTCTCCCTTTTTTTGTGTGTGCCCCCTACACTTGGGGTTCCTCACCCCCCTGCGCACCTGTTTGCAGTGTGGCCGTGGCCTTGGCACCCTCTCTCTAATGTTTCCTCCAGGAGAGACCTGTGAAAAATGCTGCTCATTCCTAAGAAACGGAGCTTCCTATTGCTTCTGTTGAAAGAAGTTTTGCCAGGGGAGATCGGGGGGGTGTGTCCCATCTCTCCTTGGCCCCTGCCCCTCACACTTGCTTGCCATCAGCCAGGACCAGTGTTAGGGCAGCAGGATGGCACTCGAGGTCAGGAGCATCTCTTCAAAGCAAAGCTGGCACAAGCAGAGGAATAAACTGGATTTTTTTTTTTTTTTAACTCTTGAGTTCCTTTTTGTCTAAAGACATTTCCAGTGAGAGCCGTCGCCCAGCACGCTCAGGGGAATGAATCAAAAGTGCAGGTGGGGTGGCGGGGGCTGGAAGAGGTGAGGGGTAAGGTGGTTTTATTTCTTTGTCGTTAGGAATCCACGTGCTCTGTCTTCAGATACTTATTTTCCAAAATATCAGCCCTCCCGTTAATTGCAAGCCTTATTATCCCACAGCCACCATGACTCGGACCTGGTTTTAAGGGGTTTTTTCTTCCTCTTTTTTTCCTTTTTTAAAATGATTCTTCCACCTTTGGAGGAATGGGGTGGAAGTATGGCATTTGGAAATAGCTCTGAATAGAGGGACAGGCCAGCCGGCCTGCAGAGATCACGGGGAGGGGGTTAAACAAAAATCACATTCGCAGAAGGTGCTGAATGTCTTGCACAATGCCGTCCCTTGCCCAGAAAAAAAACATTTTGATTTTTTTTTTTTTCTGAGCGAGAAGGTGTAGATCTTGACGGATGCTCACAGAGGCTGTATCTCTCGATTTAGAATTAATTATACAATTGTACATCTATAAATAAATCTTTATAATGTGAAAGGCTCCAGCTGTGGTGGTGTCCTGTGGATCCTTGCCCCAGACAGCTCCGGCTTTACAGCTCCTTCATGCTGCCTTCCTCACAGGTGCTCAGTAAATGAAATTTGATGTCTTTGCCATGCTGGTGAGCTCAAGTGGTACAGCCGCCACCCCAGCGTGGGACAGGGAAGGACAGGGAGAAGATGGAGAGGAGGTGGTGCCCCCCAAGTTGGCCGTGGGTCCTGGCCAGGTGACAAGCCACTACTTAGCAGGACATCTTCGCTTCAGGTGTGTTCCATGGGGACGCTGCCAGGCGGACCTCGCCTCCCTCCCCTGTGAGCTGGGTCCTCCAGCATCCTCCAGCCGAGCTCTTTTTTTTGGGGGATGCTTTATCTTCATCCTGGCAGCATTGTCCTGGTGTTAAAGGTGCCCGGTCTCCACCTGGGGAGGACAGCAGGCAGGAAGGCTCGGGCTGCCTTTGTTCTGAGTGGAAATGCCAGCTCGGACGCGCTTCCCAAAAGCAGCAGCTTGGAAACTGCCGCTGCTGCCCCGAAACAGAGGGGGACCACCTGCCCCCAGAGCTGGATTTGGGGTCCATGCTCCCAAACAGGGCTTTATTTTTCCTAAATCCTCCCTCCCCAGGGCAGCGAAAGGCTTTTCCCACAGCCCCTTGGCCCTGCCAGAGCTCCCTTCCACCACAGCCCCATGCACTGAAGGGCTGGAGGTTTTGGGGTGGGATTTTTCCCCTTTTTCCCTCTTTTCTCTCCTCTCTCAGAGGCCAGGGGTCACGTCACTGCCATTTCCCCTGGTGTTGTAGTGGTTTGGCTTTTTGTTTGTTTAAGTCTGCAATGAGGTGCATTCAACACCCCAGTTTTTGGGGTGGTTTTGCTGCATTTCTGGTCATTCACAGCCCAGAGCAATGGGAGGTGCTCTGCATTTTGGTGTGCTGTTCCCTGCCCGCTCACCAAAGGTGCTGGTGATTTGGGCTGTCCATTAATTAGCTCCTTCCCCACCTGCTGGCTCATTAGCTCGAGCTTTTAACTGGGGCAGCAGCCAGAGGAAGGGAGGCAGCAGGGGAAGGTGGGTGACCCCTGAGGATCCTCCTCTGGCAAGTAGGGAGTGAAAGGGACCCTGCTTCTCCCCACCATCATTTTTGGTAGCAAAACATGAGGATTTAGTGTTACCCTGGGATTTAAATCCTCATTTTTCTTATTGGTGTTGGTGTCCCAAAAGATGTCCCTTTCCCTGCCACTGTGATGGCACCTGGGAGCCCTGGGCTGATGCTGGTGCCTCAAATAGCCCCATTGTCGCCTCCAGGGTCCTAAAAAAATCCCTTTTGCTGCACCCTGCCCCGCAAGGGGCTAAATCCAGCCAGGTTGGAGCTCCTGGCACCTTCTAGGGAGTTGCCAAACCCCGGGGACCTTGACATCTCCCCCAACTTTGTCGTGGAAAGGCCATTTTACTATGAATAGAAGTAACGCTTCACCTGCCATCGCTGAGGGCTGGGGCTGTGGCCCTGGGGTGTTCTGGGGGCTTGTGGAGGGTTTTGCTGGGCACCCCCAGCAAAGAAGCTGTCCTATTGCTCTGTGTTTTTTCTTGGAGTTCTCTGTAAAGCCCTGATAATTCTTTGTAATAATAATTTTTTTAAAATGTGATGGGGAGTGTCCCTTGCCCAACCTCAGAAAGGCTGGCAGGGGACGAGCCAGGGCCACAGGGCTGCTGGCAGCACGGTGGGACACAGGGCCATCCCCTCCACCTGCCCAGGAGCTCAATATATAAAAATACACATATTTATGGTGCTATATATATATAGCTTCAAGACGCAGTATGTCTCGGCAGGGGATGAAAGCACAGCCCAAGCCGCTGGTGTCACTGCCGTCATCATGCCGTAAATCCCCTCGCAGCGTGCCATTTCCGTCCCGTGCCGACGGTGCCAAAACCTGCTCGTCATGTGATGCTGCCAAAAAAACTTTGGGTTTGGAGTTTCCTTCCCAGCGTCCTCGCTGGCTCCGGGCCTGGTTTGATGGTTTTCCTGTTGGATGACCCTGGCATGGAGGTGCCCACATGTGGAGGGGGGATGCTCTGGCATGTGACCCTTAGAAATACCCAATACCCAAAATTTTAGGGGAAAAAAGAACCTTTTGCACACTATGGCTTTGTAAAGGTGTGTTTCCAGCTGTACCTGCCTGGTGCTGGTTGTTGCTCCAGTTGTTCCTAGGTGGTATTTATGTGGGTGAGCAACCTCAGCTTGAAATACTCAGGTTGTGAGGTGTCCTCTTGAGAAAGAACTTTTTTGGTGAAAATTTTCATTGAAAAGTCACTGTCCACAGGGGAGGGAAAAAAAAAAAAAAAAAACTCACCACAAAAAAACCCCACCAAGCCAAAAAAAAACCAGCAGAGGCCTGAGCCAGAATAAACTCCCATTTGGATAGAAATGTTTTGTTCAGGCTGGTTTCATCCCCCACACCTTCCGCCAGGCTTGGCGTTTGCCAAGCAGCTTAATTATACTTCAGTGAAAGCCTTTTCTCCCAGTGGCTTTAATTGTAGCCTTGGGTAATTGGTCTTATTTTTACAGAGTGTGGTTGGAAATGCAGATTGTTCCCCTGGCAGGTGTGACTCTCCCTGTCTCCCTCTCTCCCCATTTTAGCCAATTGTCCTGGTTTTCTCCCCAAAACCCCCTGTAGCTCCCAGGGGAGGAGCAGCAGCCCCTCACTGGGGTGCCAGAGTGCTGCTCCCCCCCCTCCCCCCAGCACAGGGTCAGGCACCTGCCTGGCTCTGGGCCCTGACTCAGCTCCCCCTGACTCACCGCCCCATGGCCAGTCATTAGGAGTGGGCACAGCAGGATTCCCCCCCCATTCCCCAACCCTTCAGCTCCCACTGCAGGGGCTGCTCCGCCAGGGAAAGGCTTCCCAGGGATGCCAGCGGGGATTGTGGACGAGTTGTTGCATGATACCTCACCAGCCCCAGATGACACCAGGGAGACAGCAGGTTATCAATTAAGACAGCTTTTATTAGAAAAGTAAAAAAAATTCACCCTGACACGATTGCATAGGAAGTCTTGCACTTGAACATCAAGTGTATGAGTGTAAACTGTAACCAATGAAGCATCCATGCTATGTCACAGCAAGGGGTCCTGCCCTCCAGCACCATATCACCTCACACGCCCCTCTCCCACACCATGCTTTCCGCTGGTGATCAAAGACACAATGCGACTTCGGACCACCCCTCCTGCCCTCCTGGGAGCCCACACAGAGCTGCCCGGGTGCCAGCAGTGGCGTTTTGTCTTTGATCCCAAGCTACAGCCCAGCCATCATCACTCCCACAAACACCCTCACCCAGAAACCCCATTGATTACAATCCTTGTTATAAAAAAACGATGATTAATCAGCCTACAGAAGACCATCTGCCCCCCAGCAGCCCCGCTGCCACATCCGGGAGCGCAGTTGCCACAATCATCTCACAATCATCAACAGCGTGAAGTGACCTTCGCCTGGGTCCTGGTCTGCTCTGCATCAGGGATGCCATGGCACTAGCAGGAACCCTGTGAGGACCTTCTCCTGCCTGAAATACTTCCACCTACAGCCCTACTCCAGCCTAACCCTAAACTACTGCTGCTGCTGGGAGCCACCATGCTCTACCGGCTCTTCCAAAGCACCTGGGTAAGTCACTTCTCCAGCATGGCCCATCAACACTCCTCAATGAGCAGCTGCTCGGAGCTGTACAGCTTCTTCTTGATGACCCTGAAGCCTGTGCTGAGCTTCAGCGGTGTGAAAGCTGGCCCCGAGGTGAAGAGTCCCTGGATCTTGGGCCAGAGGCGGGAGTCCAGCCGCAGCACCAAGGTGAGCTGGAAGGTGGGCACCACACTGGGGTCCACGGCAATGTGTCCCACGTCGTGGCAGGCTTTCCCGTGCTCCACACAGAGGTCGAGGAGGGCCCCACGCAGCCCGCAGGGCTCGCTCCAAGCCAGGCGCAGCAGCTCCGTCCTCACCTGTGCCACGAGCTGGGCTGGCATGAGGAGCCGGGAGCAGCGCTTGGTCCCCATTGGGGCCCTGCCCAGCATGGCCTGCACCACATCCATCAGGCTGGCACACAGCAGCTCATCCTCAGGGTCCTGCAGCAGGTCCAGGTCTGGCAGGGAGACCCCTTCAGTGTACTCAGCATCTGCAGAGGGGACAGGGGGTGGGTCAGCACTGGGGGGTCTAATGGTTGTGGGGAGGAACATCAAACCCAGGGGTTTG